GGTCCAGGCTGGAGACTTTACACATGGAAAATGTATCTGAAAGAAGTGGGGAGAAACGAGGGAATTGGGATAAGAAATAAGTCTTCCAAATAAAAGTCTTTAGGAAAAGAAATAAGTCTTCCAAATAAAAATGCAGCCGAGGGCAGTTTCTTTTCTCTTGATTCCATTTCCAGGATGAAGGAGGAGAGCCTGAATTAACATTTAGCAGGGATTTGTTTACTGCAACAAGATGTGAGAGGATTAAAGAAGAATGAGCGGTCTACATGATTCACTTCCAAAAACCAGATGGAGTTATGGGAGACAATGGTCTGAGACGAGTATGATTTTTTCCAAGTGAAGACAACTCTTTGGAGAAAGAAGAGGACAAAATTTGAAGACTGGGGAGATCAATCTACACATGCAGTTAGAAAAACGTGATGAAGTATTTTTTGTTGACTATTAATAGTTTTAAGTTAGGCAGAGACAGAGCACAGTTTCCTTTGGTTGGGAGCCCCTCGTTTTTCGAATCTGTGGTTGTTTTGAGTAGATAATGAGGAAAAGAACCAGGCTAGGTAGTCAAATGGTGCAGCAGATTAATTACCTTTGATAGCCACATTTAGGTTATGAATTAAAACACATAGGGGTGTCTGGATGGCTCTATCAGTTAAGCATCTGACTCTTGATTTTGGCTCAGGTCATGATCTGGCAGTTCATGGGTTAGAGCCTGCATTGCGCTCCATGCTAACAGTGTGGAGCTTGCTTGGGATTCTCTGTCTCTCCCCTCTCTCTGCCCCTCCCCTGCTCTCTCTCTCTTTCAAAATAAATAATGAAACTTAAAAACATATTGATTACAAGAGTGAAGAGGCAAGGGGTGGAAGGGATGAAATTGGCAGAAGGGTCCAATAATCAAATATATAAAGCAATTATGATGTAGATTTTCATCAACATGAGGAAACTAGAAAGCAAGGGACCCTTGTAGAAGAGTTTGAATGTGAGAACCAAGCCAAGTTGAAAAAAAGAAATAAATAGAAATGCCTACAAAATAGTTTGGGACAGATAAATTTATCTGCCCAAGAAAGACAAATATATTTGAGAATCAGAAAACAAAGGACTGTATAGTATAGTTTAAGAGCAAAGGAGACAAGACATAGAGACAATAGAGGCTTAGGCTGAAACTAGAAGAGGACGAAATAATGTAAATAGATATTCACTTTCATTTTTATGTATGATTCTAATTTTATAATAAGAAAAATCATAACAGTAACAAATATCTAAAGATCTCATTTTCACTTTGACAATTCTACAGTGAGGTTTCCAGTCCAAAGGGCTTTATGAAATAAACAAACAAAAGAAATACGAAGACAATAGTGAAGTAGAACAGATGATGTTCTATTACACAGATTACGGCATCCTGGAAATCAGTAGTCTGGTTTACAAGACGCTTAAAGGAGGGTGTCTCTAATTATCTCCCAATGATGTAAACTGCCTAATTTTCCTCAAAATATAATTAATTTTAAACCATGTTTAAAAAGTGTTGGATGTTATAAATACATCTAATGCTACTAAGTTTATCAGAAACCAGCCTTCATTTACTTTACTGACATAATACACTTCATACAACACATGTATGAAAAACCTGATGTACTTTTAAAGCCGTATTATGCTCTTTATTCAAGTTTTTCATTTTCCAAGTGGTTTATCCTATGTTTCCAAGCATGTTAAGAATAAACAGAATCTTTAGCAGTGATATGTTCAAAGTTATGGTTTCAAGGGCAGGGCTTTTTCAGCTTGGTTTCTTCAAAGAGCTACTCAAGATTCCTTAACTTTCCTTCAGAAGAGAAGGCCTAAAGCTTTATCCCAAAACTAGTTAAGAAATAACAAGAAACAAAATCAAGCAGCAACACAGGTCCATATAGTTCTGGACCTCCAAGAAAAGGAGAAGGTAGGGGCTCCCATCCTGGAATTTGGAAGCTCGGGGTCCTTGTTAGTGGGGAGGCATCCTGGAGGATGACTCATTAAGAGATTAGTAAAATAAAAAGGAGTAGCAGGAAGCACAGACTACCCACCCTAGCTGTGGGACTCTTCCTTCAAGGTGGGGTCCCCTCTTCGTCATTTGTACTTGAGGACAAACCACTGTCTTCTCTCTACTGTGGGCAACTAATAGATGGCTTTTACTTTCTATTATAGTAAAATTCAGGGGGCACCTGGGTGGCTCAGTTGGTTGAGCATCCGACTTTGGCTCAGGTCATGATCTCACAGTTCATGGATTCCAGTCCCACCTTGGGCTCTGTGCTGACACCTCAGGGCCTGGAGCCTGCTTCAGATTCTGTGTCTCCATCTATCTCTGCCCCTCCCCCACTTGTGTGTGTGTGTGTGTGTGTGTGTGTGTGTGTGTGTGTGTGATTGCGCACACACTCACGCTCTCTCTCTCACTCTCTCTCTCTCAAAAATAAATAAACATAAAAAAATTAGGAAAATTTTTCCTGGGCACTACATCAGCTCCCAATGTAGATTTAACACATTTTGTATGCATCTCTGCTCTCCTTATTGTCACTTATTTACAGAGGTAAATTCATTATGAACATATTTATTATATACATTTGTGTATGGTGTGTGTATACAAGCAAACAGACGAATTTTGACATCATATTTCATTATCTCCACACATAATTCATAAACAATATTTCTGAAGTCCCACTAAATGGTGAGTGCAGTTATTATAAAGTGTTGTGGACAGCAAACAGTGACCTTTAAAAATGAAGATTTCCCTAAGTGTTTCTCCACACAAGACCCAATTTTATTCTGCATGTGTTCTATACCAGAACTCCTGGGATGAAAATCTCAGTGAAAAAACTTTGTAAGATGCAGAACACAAAAATGACTGATTTTCTTCAGGAAAAGAAAATCCTCTTTAGAAAGGAAACTACATCACCAGAACCAAAGGCATGTGACAATATTTTCTGAGTGAATAGTTGAGATATTTTCAGGCTAACACGACATTACGTCCTTTCCTTGTTGAAATGTCACAACTAGGAAGGCAGGTCACCTAACCCTGGTCGCTTGGATAGTGCTGGGTCAAGTGTGTTCAGACAGACCCAGGAGTAAGGGTTGCAGGACACAAATTAAGAGTTAAATTGGAGTGCTCACTTAAGCAGAACATATACTAAAATTGTAATGGTACAGAGAATATTAGCATGGCTCGTGCACAAGGATGACACACAAATTTGTGAAGCATTCCACGTTTTTTTCATGTTTTCTGCATATTAAAAAAGCTGATTTGTACCAATTGGTAAACTACTTAATGCCTATAGAACTGAAAAGAACAAAAGTAAAATTGAAAGCCAACACACCATATGTCCTAATATTTAAGTTATAAATCCAGCTAAGACACTCTAAAAAAATATGTTTTGTTCTCTTACTTTGACATGTGCAACTGTCATAATGACAAAATTGGAAATGTGTTCAAATCTACGGTTTTAACATGACTGGAAGTCAGAAAATTATCAAAGACAAGCACCTTAAGTTTTACACATCTCAGTGTTCACATCTGTGTTCTGTTGATGGTCTAATGATATTTGGATGACTAACACAATGGGTATAGAAATTTAATATCAACAGAAGAGTCATGTCAATTTTTTAACCTTGCAAAATGTTCCACAGCCACAATATGTATGCGTGTGCTACGAATACCACACTAGTTTGGGAATATCTCTGGAAGCATGAATCAGAACACAAAAAAAGAGCAAGAACAATGGTTGCTCACCACTACTGGAAGAGCACACTTTGTTATGAAAGAACGAATATGCATTTATAGTATCTGCAAGGAGGGATTTGATAAATCACTCAATGTATATTATTGTCTTAAGGGTTTCTGCTGTTCAGATCCTGCCTTCTTACCAAAGTGGTTTCTCTGCCCAACAGCAACAGAGTCCTAGGTACAGTCACTTTTTCTAGGACACAGGGCACAAGATAGGCACGAACATTTCCCTGGAGCCTCAACAATGTGGGTCACAACGTGAATATCTATGGTTATAGGGTGTACTGTGTCAGTACTGAGTACTCTGTCCACAGTAAGGGCACCCATGTCTCCTTACAAAATTCCTTTGCCATGTGTTTGTGATATGCAGGGCTTGAAGGGCAAGACCCAGGGCAGGAACCCTTTTACTTGCATATGAAGGCAGTGCTGGATTCAGGTTATTTCCCAAGCTCTTTCATAGATGTGCAGAATCTAAACAGGCTTAAGGCATGAACAAGCTTCCACAGAAAGGTCTTATAATGGGGTTCCATGGCAGACTAGAATCTGGCAACTGTATGTACCTACCACATCGTATTACCAAGGTGGCCATTGCCATGAATACAGTTGTAGCTTCACTTCTAGCAAAAGGGCTTCAGTGCTTTTTTTTTTTTTCTTTCTCATGAACATTGTCAAGTCAATTCCAGGGGAAATCAGGTTTTCTCCAGTGTTTTGTTTTGTTTTCTTACGAGAATTCCTGATCCAACTGAACTTGACAACTCCTTGATCTTGAGTCCTGTTTTCTCTACATCCTTTCACCCAAAAAACCCCTCTGTCACCACTGGTTCAGCTCCAGTTTAATTACAAGCATTTCAATTTCTGATCCATCAAAAGTCTGGTCTTCCCCAAGTATGCATTTCCCACTCCAGTCTCATAACACTTTACAGGCTCTGAACAATGGCTATCTGTTCCTTCCTGCTAGGTTTCCAGAAACAGGCTTTAGAGAGCTGCCATGTGTTTATCTTTCTTTACACTCCAACAAGCACCCCTCCGTGACTCACACACAGAGAAAGCCAAAAGCACTGAATGGTTGTTTATTCTCACCAGCTGGATAACCCTGCACGTGGCTTTCAGCATGGACAAGGATTAGAGACACTGGAGAAGTGTGTCATGTCCATTTAAGTACACACAAAACTGCATCCACTTGTGCTTTGCTTAGATCCTTTAAGGAATTCAGAGTTAACCATGAAACTCAATTGAGCTTGTCATCTTTGTTTTTCTCCATTTATGCCCAAATGGGAGAGGAAGGATCAGGTAGGGTGTCCAAGAGAAATACAAATACAATGGGGAATTGTCATGTTCAAGTGCTTACAGCATAGTATTCAGTCTTTAGGACTGCCGCTCTGTGGATATGTAGCACATGACTCTTGATGGCATGATTAGATCAACTAGTTATATACCTGCTTCAAAAAAGATGGACAATCCTGTATCCTAATCATGAATATATGTGAGCTCTAGGAATTGCTCAGTATAGAGCTCCTCGGTCATCTCATTATTTCCTGCCTTGTTTTGTGGAGTTTTATCCCATGCACGCACCATTTAGTATTCAGCAACAGACACATGTTAGATTACAGTTATTTAAGGTTCATCTAGTGGGATGTCCAATAGGCATCCTGGATATGTGACCCAAAGATGAGAATGTTTGGAGATATGGAGGTCATCAGTGTATGACCCTTGAAGCTGTGGTTATGGAGAATATTGCTCAGGAGAATAAGCAAGGATTAAGGGGCATCAGTGCTATTGGGTAAAGAGTGAAAAATAGCTAACAAAGGAGTCTCACATGGCATAGTTAGAGAAGAGGAGGAGATCAAAAAGAAACTGATCTCTCAGATGTCGTTTTGTTTATTGGAGATATCCATCAGCATTGGTCTCAAGGAGAATATACTGCTCTCCTTGTAGAGGGTAACAATTTTGGCCTGCCTCTTCTTCTCAGACATCTGAAGAAGGCTTGGTAGGACCACGATAAATCATGGGGACTAGCCTGTGAAAAAAGGAGCACACACTGGATGAAAATGGAGACGCTTGTGGAAACAGATGGGGCTCAAGAATTTAATGCAATCAAGTCATGTTCCCTCTTGTTAACCTCGGTTATGCAACACTGTTGTTTAGCGCTTTTTTTTTTTAATTTCCAAAGTAATATATAAAGGAATCCAAAACAAAAACATAAAGATTACAGCTCTTTAAAATAAAAAGCTGTAAGTAGAAATGCATGTAGTTTACCAATAGTATTAATAATTTTTAAATGTACTTCTCTGAGTTTGACAAGTTTATACAACAAAGCTAAAGAGCAACAGTATATTTTTCTCCGGGGAACCTCTCCTCTAAGTACTCAAGAAATGTAACCAGAAATTGCCATTAAGAGAATACTGATTTGGTGATTCCTTAGTGATTTTTCTTTATAGGATCACTAATGTTTCCAAAACAGCCAAACTCAGAAACTTCAATGCCATAGCACAAAACTTTTAAAGAAATGAAGTTTTGGGTCGGGTTCAAATAGGCTTAGAGGAGTACTATTTTCCTAAACTAAACAAAAAAGAAAGTTATTTCCTTTGATCGTCAAACACAAACTGAAGTTTCAGGCTTTGACATACAATTTGGCAACTGTAGATAGATGCAGCCAATCAAATTAAAGCCTACACAAATTCAATATTAATTGCCTTGAAATATACATGTAAGGACAATCAACATTAGAAATAAATTGTATTTGCATATGTAAGTTTGGGGGCTGTTATTCTTTAGAAGTAAACACTATGTGTAGGATTACAAGGATTTAATGAGAGAATGCACATAAAGTGCCCCAGGGCCTGGCATCTAGAAACACTGAAATGAGAGCTATCATTATTCTGACATCATGATTCCAGCCAGCCAATTCCATTATGTTATCCTTATTATAAATCCTGTGAGATTTTATTTTTGCTTTCACTGGTATGCTCTAATGAGTTGTCTATAAAGATGGGTAACATCAGTAGTCTATGTGAGTTTAGGAAGGGGTAGATGAAATTTAACAAACAGAAAGTCTTTCCCTCAATGGTCTCAGTATTGAGAATGGGTACAGAGATGTTGAGGCTAATGACTGAAGGCTCTATGAAGGCTAATGAATGAGGCTCTATGAAGATGTTGCAATTACTAATGTTAAGGGTTCCCACCTATCTGAACCACTGTGCCCAGAATGTGTCCGAGGAAGCCAGCTCTCCTTGACAGCTCACTAACCAGCCTCCTCTAACTGTCTCTTTCCAAAGAGTAAAACAACTTGTCATCTCGTCAGGCTCATTATAACTCCCTCTTCTGAACCCTTTGTACCGTTAGCCTCTATAGCCTTCTCTTTATCCTTACCCTGTTTAATCTCAATTCTAAATGAGATGTTCTTTTTTCCGATAAAAGCCTAGAAATACTAAAATAGCTTCGGAATATACATCAGTTTGGGTCACAAAAATCCTATAAATTCTGCTCTACTTCATTTTAATTTTCAGGGTTTTTCCCCTTGTGAGTCTCCTACAAGGTTTGGTAAAGGTTGAATGCTTAGCGATTTACCAATAACATTTATTGAAAGAATGTTGACCATCATACCTCAGTGTCTTTGTGGCCCTAATGTTTCTGAATGTCCATTAAATTTGGTTGCTTCCATGCTCAGTTCCAGGCACCTTCCTTCCACATATTTCAGTTATGATCTATATGCTGACGACATATATGCTTCAGTATTTTTCCAGTCTAGTCCAGTATCTACAGCACAAAGTACATATTACCAATTATCTTACTGCTCTTGGATATCCCACAGATACTTTGACCCTGACCCAATCATCTTCCTCCAACAGCTCAATTCTCTATACTTCTTCTATCTTCAGTGGAATCACTGAACTAGTCCACCCAGAGTCCAAACCAGTCAGAAAAACATTGCTTCTGTTTTAACCCATATGTCCAGTCCAGATCTACTGATTTTACCTCAAGTATTTGCTTAGCTTCTCCATCTTTCTACAACACCATTGCCTTCCCTAGTCTTAGTCACTAGGATCTCTAAACTAGCTTCTTTTAAGGAGCCTCATAATTGGTCTCACTGACCTGTCTTGCCCTTCTTTCTCTACCCTCTAGTCATTATGATCTTTCCAAGCATCTGTGATATACAATAACAGAGAGTACAAAAACGGGATTCATGTCTATTGAGAAGCAATACTGAGGGGTTTATTAGAGTTGTGATAAGATTCATCAGGTCATTTGGGGTCCAGGAGAAAAATTAGCTCAGATTCACTGAGGGCTCTTCTTATAACTACTTATAATATGGACAGAAATGATGAAGATGATGATAAGGAAAATAAAAAGAAGACTTGTAGGTTCTTAATGCAGAGACCATTGGGGATGTAAATAAATTGGGAAGTAGTGGGGTTAGGCTCACAGAAACCAATCTATCTTTTGTAGCTGGATCCAGAATGGGTGAGGAGGCCAGAACAAATCTGTATCCAAATACACAGCATCCAGGCAGGTATCACTACTCAGGAATCCTGACCTCCCAGTGGGTCCCTAGAACAGAAGAGAGGTCAGCAGGCAGTACATAGAAATAGGTGAGGACAGCATTCTTGTCCTGGATGTCTGATAAATTTGGAGGCGTAATAGCAGTGGGTATTATATAGATAGGTAGAGTCACAAGGGTCAGAGCAAAGCAGGCTAAGACTTAAGGCAGGGCTATACTTAGAGCAGAGGTGTGGACATAGAGAATAGAATAGAACTACAATTAAAAAACTAATGCAAAGCTAAGTTGTAAATATTGAGCAGACAGCTCACTTTAGATGCACTGGATACAGACCGAACGAAAAAGTGGGCCTGGTCTAAAGACAGTAGACCTCAGCGCCTGCAGCTGGATAGAAGTGGATCAAAGAGAGACTGGTGGAGTACCAAATCCACTTTTAAGTCCAATCAACATTTCCTGAAAGCCAAGGCATAAAAGACAATTTATTGTCTTAATGTGTCAGGCCCTGCCTGGGGTTAAGTACTTCACATATTATCTTCCCATTAAATTCCTACATGTTAAACATGACCTACATACACTTCCATGACTTTCTGACGTTTTTCATCAACCATGCAAATAGGCTGTACTGATTTAGAGTAACATGGCAATACTAATCAATGTTGTCTTGGCATCTAGAAAAATGGCTGGCAGTAAGGACACGCGAAATGTCCTCTGAATAGCTGCTATGTTACTCAAAAAGCAAGTGAGAGAGGAAGTCAAAATACAAAGTCACACCAAAAGAGGGATCAGTCCTCAAAATGTGACTTCCAGATCTCCTAAGCTTCTGGAGACCTTTCAGGGGTCTGCAATGTAAAAATTATTTTCTTTATAATATTGATATAATTTGCTTCTGACATTGTGGTGACATACTCACAGTGCAAAAACCATAGAGTTAAAGCTTCTTGTGCTTTACCACGACTCAAAGGCAACAGACTCAAACTATGCTAGTAATGATTCTACCCTCACTGCCATGCTCTTGCAGTTTTGCTTTGTCTTTTTGAGAGAGAGAGAGAGAGAGAGAGAGAAAGAAAGAGAGCACAAGCAGGGGACGGGCCGAGAGAGAGAGAATCCCAAGCAGGCTTCATGTTCAGTGCAGAGCCTGACCCAGGGCTCAATCCCACAACCCTGGGATCATGCCCTGAGCTGAAATCAAGAGTTGAGCACTAGAGGGTATTACGCTAAGTGAAATTAGTCAGTCAGGGAAAGACAAATATCATACGACCTCACTCATATGAGGACTTTAAGACAAAGGACAGATTAACATAAGGGAAGGGAAGCAAAAATAACATAAAAACAGGGAGGGGGAGAAAACATAAGAGACTCTTAAATATGGAGAACAAAGAGAGGGTTACTGGAGAGCTTGTGGAAGGGGGGTGGGCTAAATGGGTAAGGGGCATTAAGGAATCTACTCCTGAAATCATTGTTGCACTATATGCTAACTAACTTGGATGTAAATTATAAATAAATAAATAAATAAATAAATAAATAAATAAACAAACAAACAACAAAAAAAGAATATTCACACACACACACACACACACAAAGAGTTGGGTACTCAACCAACTAAGCCACCCAGGTGTCCCACTTTTGCAGTTTTTTTTCAATCTAGTTTTCCTTAAAATTTTTAATGAAACAGTAAAAAGAATTAATGTTATTAATTCTAAACTTTTAAATACATATCTTTTTAACATTATGTATGATGAAATGGGAAATATGCATAAAGCACTTCTGCTAAAATGTAATGGCTGTCTTGAGGAAAAATATTTTGTGATCTTTTTTTGAGTCAGAACTGTACTAACAGCTTTTTTTCAGGGAACATGATTTTCATTTAAAAAACTGACTGACAGACAAGCTATAGTTATTCACAGTTGGAAATTTATCAGACATTTTTTCAAAAACGAATTGAAGTGATCTTATTACTCCAGGGAAAACAACTGACAGGTTTTGATACCAATGATAAAATCAGAGCAAAAGTGAAGATTAGGATTTTTGGTAAATTTGTCATCTTGTGTTGGATACTTCTCAATACATTAAGACTTCTGATGGGGCGCCTGGGTGGCGAGAAATTGTTAGTCCCACTTCAGCTAGGTCACGATTCACTGGGTGCAGTTAGCCGAGCTCATCGGGCTCGAGGCTGATGGCTCAGGAGCCTGGAGCCTGTTCCCGATTCTGTGTCTCCCTCTCTCTCTGCCCTCCCCGTTCATGCTCTGTCTCTGCTCTTGTCAATAAAAATAAAGTTGAAAAAAAAATTTAAAAAAAAAAAAAAGACTTCTGATGAGATGGGTGGTGGTATTAACAAATGCCGGATACACACACACACACACACACACACACACGTATGTATGTAAACATGTATGTATATGTGTATACATATATATGTATAAATATAATTTTTAAATAACATTTATAATTTTAATATACTCATTTATACAAAAATAATGAAATGTGTCAATACTTGTAAGATCTTCATAATCCTATTAACTAATATGTTCAAAAGGATATATGTGTGATTCCATAAAATAAAAGATACAGTCAAAACACATGACAGAACAGATTTCAAAGTAAGAGTATGAAAGTTCATTGATATGGCTTAAGATTTTCACTCTTAAGAAATGACCACTTCTTGATTTTTGCTATAATATCAGAGAAGAATATCCATGACTACATAAAAGCACTATTAAAATACCCCTCCCTTTTTCCAACTACATATTTGTGTGAGGGCAGATTTTCTGCATATACTATAATTCAAAGCAACATATCATAACAGATTGAATGCAGATGCAGATATGAGTATCCAGCTCTCTTCTATTGATATAGACACTAAAGTGATTTGTAAAAATGTATAACAATGTCACTCTTCTTACTAATTTTTTTGTTTGGGAAATATAGTTATTTTTCATAAAGATATGTTATTTGTGGGGCGCCTGGGTGGCGCAGTCGGTTAAGCGTCCGACTTCAGCCAGGTCACGATCTCGCGGTCCGTGAGTTCGAGCCCCGCGTCGGGCTCTGGGCTGATGGCTCAGAGCCTGGAGCCTGTTTCCGATTCTGTGTCTCCCTCTCTCTCTGCCCCTCCCCCGTTCATGCTCTGTCTCTCTCTGTCCCAAAAATAAATAAAAAAGTTTGAAAAAAAAAAAAATTTTAAAAAAAGATATGTTATTTGTATGTAATAGATTTATGATTTTTATTTAAAACTTAAAAAAATTAAGTTTTATTTATTAGAAAGAGACAGAGAATCCCAAGCAAGCTCTGCACTGTCAATGCAGAGCCCTACGTGGGGCTCAAACTCAGGAACCGTGAGGTCATGATCTAAGCCAAAATCAAGAGTCGGATGCTTAACTGACTGAGCCATCCAGGGACCCATGATTTTTATTTTAAGTGTCAACCAGGAAACACTTTTTCTTTTCTTAGTGTTAACATCTAATATGGATAGATATAATAGCAATAAATATAAACCCACATAAACAAAAGCTCTTTGGGGTTTTCAACAACTTTTAATATTATAAAGGGATATTGAGGGCAAAAATGTAAGAACCATTACCTTTAGGCAGTAAATTCATGAAGGCTAACCAACATGGCTGGCAATCAGCAGCTGTATGGCTCAATTTGAACAATATGAACCAATTTGAACCATTTGAACAAAATGAAGGAAGGACCTGCAGGAGTACTGTTGAAAAATTAAGGACGGTCTCCATAATTATGGGAAGTCAGTAGAAAGTGCTCGATCCTCTCATCCAGCTGGTAGACCTCTTTAACCCCTTCACATGACGAAGAACATCAATATGGCACCACTTCCAAGCACAGCAACCACCGATATATAAACAACTTTCTGATGCTTTTAGGAAAGTCAAAGGATGGGACAGAGCTGTCAGCAATGTTTACATGGGGAGAAGTCTCTCTCTTTCTTGTAGGGTAAAAGAGTTTTGATTTTGCCAGTAATGCCCAGAAGGTGGGGGAGTAGAAGCTTTATGTGAAATGGTACTCTCTTCCAAAAGCTTCAGGACCAAAAGTGGAGTTGGAAAATGGGAAAAAGCTGGGGCGCCTGGGTGGCGCAGTCGGTTGAGCGTCCGACTTCAGCCAGGTCACGATCTCGCGGTCCGTGAGTTCGAGCCCCGCGTCGGGCTCTGGGCTGATGGCTCGGAGCCTGGAGCCTGTTTCCGATTCTGTGTCTCCCTCTCTCTCTGCCCCTCCCCCGTTCATGCTCTGTCTCTCTCTGTCCCAAAAATAAATAAATGTTGAAAAAAAAAATTAAAAAAAAAAAGGAAAATGGGAAAAGGGAAAATGGAGGCAATGATCCATGGGCTAATATTTCAGAGCCCAGAGATGTAAAATACATTCTCTAAACTCAGTGATACTGTGCTAGTGTTCTATGTCATCAGATTATAACTGCCTGGAGTAAATTTTTAAGTGTGCCATTTACAACAATTACCAAAATGAGTGAAAGTAGTCTTTTTTATTTTTATTCAATTTAAATTGTGTATGTAAATGGTATTTCTTGGAGAAAGTTTCAGAAACTACAGCAATCTTTCAAGCCAGATGGCCATTTTATACTACTACCAGTTCAATTCCATATAAACACTAGACAATGTTTGAGCTGCATCTGCAATAAATCTAAGAAAATAAATCAAGGTTATTGAAGATCAGGCCCATTTATATTCTATTTGACTGTCTTGTTTTTCAGCTCATGCATATTAACAGTATGATGTGAGTGTGAATTTACTGAAGCACAAGTCAAAACCTGGGATTTGTGTTGTAACTGTGATGCCTAACAGACTCGCCAAAACTTGTACTGACTGAAACGCACAGCTTTTTCTTTCTAAGCATATCCAGCAGTCCTGGATATTTGGATGTATCTACTTTCAAGTTTCTGCAAAGATATTCCCCTTTTATGAATAATTGTGCTTTCTATGCAAGTAAGTGAAAGTAAGATTGTTTTCTTCAGAACAACAGCAAGGCAACCCATTATAATAATCCAGAAAACCAAGATGTCAAAAATCTGATGAGATCATTTATTTGGTGAGGTCCTATTATGCACCCACCTCCCTATATGGGTGATCTTAGCAGCTTATTTTCACTTGGCTCTTAGTTTTCCCACAGGGCATATTCTTTAAAAGTACTTGCATTTTGTTTTGTTTTAGGCTATTTTGCTTTTAGTTTTAACAGCCCACTCCCATGCTTGTTTTCTGAGTCCTAGGTTCCAAAGCTGTCTTGGGTATCTGACACTAAGCAGAATATTACATTTTAGAATCCAAAGGAACAAAATTCTTACTGTTTTGCAGAATGGGTAAGAACAAAGAAAGTAATTTCCAGATCATTTAAATATATATACTTTCAGAGGTATTATGTTCTCCCAGATAAAGTATTCTCATTTTTATTCATATTAATTTCTGAAACAGAGACTAAAATATCTCAAAAAGCTTTCCAAGAATGTTATCTTTTACACTCAACTCAAACATTCTTTGCCAGTTCCAGAGCTCACAGAGCTTATTTTACGAAAGTAAGTCCTGAGTGAATGAGGCGTATGAATCAAAGCACTTAGGTAGAATTTAGCCATTTAGCCCACATATGTGTTTTTCTCATCCCTACTTTAACTCACTTATCTGCATCAAAAACATGATATGTGAAAAGAAAACACAGTTTCCATTGGTGGACCCTTATGATTCTGTCCAAATGACTCACTGATCAGTAGACTTCATTTACCTTCTACTTCTATTCTAACTCTCCCCCCATGAATCTTTGATATTAGCAAAATTTCCTTCTATGATATATTCTTCATGAAAACTTTCTTTACACTCGTGTTTTATCAGATCGTGTCAGTTAGTATCCTGAAGTTCTAGGAAGCTGTATCTACTAGTAAAAACCCTTTGTAAATCACCAACATTTTCCCCTTTCACCACCTGAAAAGCCTGAGGCAGGAGGGCATGCTTAGCGATACATGGCAACGCATGCATCTGTGAGCTTTTAGTTTCGGCATCTTAAAGAATTCAGACATGGGGAAATATTTCAAAGAAATTGTGTCGTCTTCTGGAAGAGACTTAGCTCTTATCGCTCACAAGGTATTAAAATGTTCTCTGTCACTTTTCTTATCAAAAAAGTATTGAGCACCCTCCATATTCCATCCAGGCTTGTAGCTGGACTCCAGGAATGCAAATATAAACAATATGAACAAAATAAGAGTCCCTGATCTCAAGATGCTCAGAGGCTAGTAAACAGGGACACACTGAAGATAATCCATGTAGGTTGGGAATATACCGCATTCACTCACACATATTGAGATCCTCCTATTGCACTCACTGTGTTGATCATGACAGCAGAAGGGAACTCAGAGGAAAGGCCATTAGCCCAAGTAGAGATTTCAGGAATGTCTACCTGGAAGAAATAACATTTAAAATGTTGTTATACAGATGATGGCAAGGGCATGGGCATTCTGGATAAGTGAAGATCATAGTCAAAAGCAGAGTCACAGGAAATGTCGTAGACAATGCAGGAACCTATTTGCTATTTCTATTTGCTATTTCTAGAACATTAAATGCTAGGACTAGAGAAACGACAGATGAGATTGGAGTTCTATGAAGGAGAAAGAGCTAGGTTGGAAAGAAAGACCCCATCTTTTCAAAGGCCTCCTGGCTAGGAGAAACTTAGAAAGCCTGAAGGTATTCTCTCAGCAAAATATTATAAACTCATTAGGTTAATTTATTACTACTGTACAGAATTTGGGTTAGAACTTCATATCATCTGGTATAGACAGAAAAAGCAGGTTAGATTTATACTATGGGCGAAAAAAAAAAAACCAGGATGGTTAGCTGGACTGAAGGACTGAGTTTTTCACAGACATACAGAACACAAATTAATATATACATACAAACCCTGGTGTATCATTTATTTGTATTAGCTAAAAAAATTTATTTAAAATGTAGTGTGTCTAAAGCCACTATCCAGATCATGATTACCCCGAAAGTGAGTGAAAACAATCTAATCAGTTTAAACCCAAATCCTGCTCAGTTTAGTTCCATATACTCTTCCCAGCATCCACAACTTCTAATACTGGAAATACCCTTACTATATGCTTCTGTAGGGAGATTAAGGAGAAGACAGAGAAGTATTATCTCCATATCACCCACTTTTTCCTAATCCCTTTCTAGCTTTCCTTCAAGGGGCTGGAGAAAAATCTGTTCTGTGATGTGAACTGCATACAAACTATTCACAGTTGACCACATCCGCTGGGCAAGACTCACCAATCCCAAGGAATGTACAAACTCAGGTTCCAAAACACAGGCTGACTGATCATTCTGGCCGACTAAATTGGGAACTAATTAAATGTTTTAACTGGAAGTCTCTCCTCACTGCAGCAGAACAGAGTCATTTTGAAGCAAACACTTCAATGAAACACTTCTTAGGGAGCATCCAATTTAACTACAAGAAACAACTGCTTCTGGTTGGCAGAACAACTTATTCTTTCTTGATTCCCCTCCCTTCCCCACCACCATGTATACACACAGGCTAAATATCACTTATGCTAACAAGTATAACCACAGAGAAAGAAAGATATTATATCTCACAGATATCAAAGTCATCAGAAACAGTCTCTTCTTACCTATGCAGGATTCTAATTCGGTTCACTGAAGCAGAGGAAAGATTATATAAATTATTGACATAAAGGAGATTTCAGAGGAGTACTTAAAACACGTTGGGTATTATTTGAATGCAATAATGGTAGGAGGTTAAGTTATTCCTTTCATTTCCATTAGTAATTAGATGTTGGTTGAAGCATTTCTCCTTCTGGCAATCCCTTAAAGAGGTATAATGCTCTGGGGCAGCAGAGCCTTAATTCTCTTCAAGTAGGGATCCTCCATGTGAACTTACAGTCCCAGCATCTTTAGAGGGGCAGCTGGAATGAGATTAGCCTATGTGGATCTAAGAAGGGAATCCAACCAGAAACCCTGAAGGCCAGAAAGAGGAAGTTGCTAAGTGTCCTTCAGTGAAAAGTCTCCACTTGGACTTATAGCCCAAGCTTCCTTAGAAAATCAGAAACTTTTAGCACAACAAATTCTCACATGTTATTATTAGGTATCATCCCCTCAATTCTTCTAGATGCAAAAATTAGTGTCAAACACGAAAACTGCTGCAACAGATACACAAATCAAGACTTCAAGTTGTTCAGCAGCTGCTCTTGGGCAAGAACTGTCTAGACTGGAGATTGCCATCAATATTGAGTGACTTGAATACTTAATACGAGTCACAAATCATGCAAGGTGATGGTGCACAGATATGAAAAAGATGAATAAAATGGGCAGATACATAAAAAGATAACTTCAGATATTATAAACTAAATTCCAAGACAGAGACAAGCATAGAGTGGCATAGAAGCAATGCTAATGGTAGGGCCTCAGGGAAGAAATTGTGAAAGGAAATCAGGTGTAAACTAAATTTTGCACGATGAGTAGGAGTTGGACAGTTTAAGAAGGAAGGGGATGGGTACTGTAGTTAGGGGGAGTAGAATAACCAAAGTAACATCTGTATGATTTTAATTTATTTATTTTTTTTAATTTTTTTTTCAACGTTTTTTATTTATTTTTGGGACAGAGAGAGACAGAGCATGAACGGGGGAGGGGCAGAGAGAGAGAGGGAGACAAAGAATCGGAAACAGGCTCCAGGCTCTGAGCCATCAGCCCAGAGCCCGACGCGGGGCTCGAACTCCCGGACCGCGAGATCGTGACCTGGCTGAAGTCGGACGCTTAACCGACTGCGCCACCCAGGCGCCCCTGTATGATTTTAATTTAAGCGGTTTAGTGTTACTAGACTTCAAACTGAGAAAGGAAGGTTGGTCAGTAACGAGAAGAGAGACATACATGAAGACAAATATATGTCTTTACTGAAGAAAAAAGAACTCTCAAAAACCAGAAAAGGCAGATGGTCCAATTTTAAATATGGTCAAAAGATGTGAATAGGCATAGTATAAAAGTGAGTATCTGAATGTCCAAGAAACATGAATATCTGATTGCCTCATCAGTAATCATGGAAATGCAAAATACAACTTTTATGCTATCATAAGAAACTTGGACTTTATCGTCTGGATAATGGTAAGTCATTGAATAATTTTGAAAGATAATCAAGAAAAAAAAACAGACAATAAAAATAGATCCACGGAGGATCCAACTATTGGCACACTAGTTTATATGGAAATGTAAATGGTCAAGAATAGCTAGAATATCATTGGAAAAGAAGAAAAGGTAAAGTTGGAGGACTCACTTTACCAGGTATTAAGACTTATTATAAAGCAACAGTAAGAAAGACAAAGTGTAATGACAGACAAAGTGAACCAATGGAATAGATTAAAGGGTCCAGAAATAAACACACCTATAGTTTTGGTAAAGGTGACACCACCAGGCAGAGGGCAATGAACCATATCTCACCAATAAATGATGCTGGGCCATCTGGATGTGCATATAGAAGAAGAAAGTAAAATTTGACTCCTACTTCTTACCACACACTAAGATCAATTCTAGGTATACTGTAGATCAAATGTAAAAGGTAAAATAATAAAGCTTCTAGTAAAAATCTGAATGATTTTGGGGAAGGTAAAATTTCTTAAACAGGACTCATAAAGCGCTAGTCTAAAAAGAAACAGTTGATAAATTGGGTAACATTAAAATTAGAAACATCTGTTCAAAAGACTATTACAAGAGTGCAAAGCCCTATCTATGTGGATAAATTATGTTGTATTCATATAATGCAATACCACACAGAGATGAGAATTAGTGTTCTATAGCTATATGCCAACATCTAGATGACTTTCAAAAACATCATATTAGAGGAACAAAGCTAGACCAAGGAAAAGTATATTTCACATGATGTCATTTTCACAAAATGTAAAAGGCAAAACTAACGTGTGTTGTTGAGATCAGGATAGTAATTATCTTTGCAGATAAGTAGTGACAGGGAGACAACAAAAATAAGACCTTCTATGGGTGTTGATAGTATTCGGAGCTTTATCTGAAAGGTTGTTATACTGATACAGTCAGTTAATGAAAACTACTTGCCTGTATACTTATGATATGTGCAACATTCTGTATAGTTTGTACATCTGATTCAACATAAAAAGCACCTATAAAAGTCAGGCTGATAAAGTAAATGAGAAAATCAAGTTGGGTGTAAGCAAAGTGTGCTGCCTATACTTCTTATTATGGTTTCTTCTTGAAAGCATCTTAGATTGTCTTCTTTTGACAGAGATATTTGCCTATTACATACCTAAGAACATTCTTTACTAAAAAAAATCAAATAGGCTGTTGGTACACCCAACAGCATTGCCAAATCTAGCTAACACAATGTTAAGTGGAAGAAGTCATGTATGTAAGGTTCAAAAACAGGTAAAGCTAATTTGTAGAATTAAAAGGCAGTCTGGGTATTGTTTGAGAACACAGCAGAGAATTTTAAGATGCTGGTAATGTTCTATGGATTGGATGGTGATTTCGTGTGTTTACTGTGTGATAATTCATTAAGGTATACACTTATAGTCTGTACACTTTTTGTAGGCTGTATGTCAATAAAAATTATATTAAAACAAAAAAAATATAGAATATGCCTTGAAAGAGAGTTGGTGAAGGATATAACATCATTATTTAAAATTGAGAAAAAGGTAAGAAACTGGCAGAAAACAAAGGCAGAAGATCTGACCCTGCTAAAAAGAATACTGTTACATTGGCCCTGTCCAAGGTCATCCATGATCCTTGACTAAGTAGGTTTTAATAAACATGCTCCCCCTCTAGCTGCAGAATATCAGCCTGGTACATTTCTCTGAAGGGAATTTCTGAGCTTCAGTGATCCCTTTTTGAGAAATAGGCACAGAATAAACTTTCACATGTAGGATTTTTCCCAATCATTTGCAATCTGTTTCAATACACTGACTCTGTTAGTTTCTACCCAAATGCTTTTTGTTTTCTAGCTAAACTTCCATCTTGAGAATTAGCTCTCTTTATATATAGGCAAAGTTACTCATAGTAATTTTGATAAAGCCCTTGCATAAAACCTTTTAAGTCTAACAAATCAAGCGATTGCACTGGTGCCATTTTTGGAGACCCAGTCCTGCTAAGTGCTTGTATCTGATTGTTCCTTCCTGGCAGGAGGGGGCCTAAGTAAGGGGTAGGAGGGCTGAGAGTAAAACCAGAATAGTAGAGTTGGCATGAGTCATGTTCTGGAGTGGGGCCGAGGCTGAAACTGGGGTAGCAAATCTGAAAAATGTCATAGATGCAAGTGACAAGACAGGGAAAGCTGAGGTACATACAGGAATCATAAAAACAGGGAAATCAGAAATGAGGAGGGGAGTACACAACAAGAGCTGGTCCAAATTGGTAGTTAACAAAACTGCTGTG